GTCTTTCTGAAACCTTTTCCTGGTTTGTAAAATCCTGATGCTAAAATGTCACTCTTCTGGATGCCTTCGTTCTCTGGATAGTCAAACCTACCAGCCTTGGGATCAGCCAGGAAAGAGCAAAGCCCAGTTTAAGTACTGAAAGTACTAAAAAGCAAGCACATCCATAATACACATTACAGCTGGGAGAGGTGGTAACTTCTCATTTGTCATAAACCAAGCAAGTCTGATAGCATAAACTATACAAATAGAGGTTATTTCTCTGTCACTACATGCATAACATTTCACAGGAATCAGATGGGAAAAGCCAAGAAAAATGACATTTTCATTTCAATAGTGCAGACATGCTTTGTTTTGATTTGGCATTTTCCTTTTCCAGTTTGCTTTGCTCAGGTTTTATTTTAAACCAGCCTATTTGTTTGATATTTACATATTTCCAATAAACATCATTATTCCATTTAATAGCTTAGGATACATTTCACACTGCAACAAACTCAAATGACAAAATCAAAATGAATCAGTCCCCTATGGAAGTGACACAAAAGAGTGTGAAAGTTTTCTGGGGGAAACCAGAAATCAGACTTCAGAGATCTCAAGACATTTCCAAACTACCAATAGAGTTCAAAATCAAGCACAGTGTTAGTAGCCCTGGACCATAAATGCTTCTTAGAAACGATGTCACAGTAGTTGAGGGAGCAGAGCAAGAAGAGGTTTGGGAATGGACAAGCAGCCAAACGCTGAGTAGTTTACTGTTGATGTGTATTTCATTCTAAACAAACCTGTTAGAGAGCTCTAGCAGCTTTCTCACCCTCCAGCCACCAGCAAACTCCAAGGTTTAGCAAAATGCTCAGTAACTCTCTTGTCTTTTTCTTTGATGTTCCCTGGTGAGTGTTTGGGAGCTGGCTTCACAGCCTCCATTCTTCAAATACTCAGAGAAATGGTGACAAAAGCTGCCATTTAGTCGAAGCTCCGATTCTTACATTTTATCCCCATGGTGTTTCTACTTCAGTTTGTTACAGGGAGTGCAGGAGTCCCTCCCTGCCTGCTTCATTACCAGAAATGATATTTACTGCACACCACTATACAGCAAAAGTGGTATTTACAGCAGGGGGATCAGTGCAAAGCATAAAAGAAATGATGTAAAGGGTGAAAGACTGCAGAGGAATGAACGGCTTTAAATATAACCCTTTTGACAACTCAGGATCAAAAGAACTGCTGTTTATCCTTTGAGCTGCAAATGGCTGGCAAATATCCTTGTGCTCTGATGCTGTAAATAGTAAACGTTGTTTATGGGTAGTCAATGTTTATGCATTTTATGGGTCACATTTATGTCAGAGGGATCAGTTTTTATTTGCTGTGTTAACCTTGCCCACATCTTCCCCTTGGGACCCAGTTGCCTCCTGGACACTATTCCTGGCTCTCCTGCTGACCACCTTCAAAACTCTGGGCAGCTCATGTCCTCTCTCCGCATCTTGGTTTCTCCACCAACAATGCTGGCCTGGGCCAGAAGTCCCTAAGATATATGTCTGACCTACTAAATTGCTTGAATGAAACAGCAATATGAGGCTTACCATTTGTAAAGATGATGGGATCATAGAATGGTGAGGTTGGAAGGGACTTTAAAGATCCATCAAGAGACGAGAGTCACTATGTGGGCACCTCTTCTCTCTAAAGTGAATGAGCCAACATACCTGCTGGACGTAGGCAACCATACAAAAGGAGACCAGGGTAGGAAGATGCAGCAATAAAGACTCTGAAATCATCTAAGAAGAGGAACTTCTTTGTTAAATACCTTTCACGAACAGAACTGTTACAGGAATCCTGTGGGCAGACACAGGGATGAGAGATCCACAGTTGGAGGCCATGGGGGCATCTGGCCTGATGGATGGGTGCGCAGATGGAAAGCAAACAGGAACAAAAGGATTGGGCTGATGCACAACCACTCTGCCAGTCTCTGTCATTCTGGGCCCACCACTGGGAACAGCAGTGGCAGTTGACTGGTACAAGTGAATAAGCATCTTAATGAAGTGCCTGCAGGAAAGCTGAAATAAAACATGTCTTTTTTATGATGCTTGATTTATGCAATTATCATGATGCCTGTCCCAGGCTCTAGACACAGCATCCTGGAAGGTTTATAGGTGTCATCAGGAACCAAGGCAGCAAGAAAACCAAGGAGGGCAGCACTGTCCCTGTGGTGCAGGACCGCCTGTAGTGACAGGCTCCTGGAGAAACGCCACACATCCATCACCTGGGATTCCCTCTGCTGCTCCAGGGCCAGTCAGCACGTTGGCTTACGTCAGCTCAAGGAGATGCCAGGGAATGCTGCCAAATTGCTGTCTTTGCCCTCTTCAAGGTCTATTTATACCCAGTCATGGACATCAGAACACCCTTGGGGTAGGAGAGACCTTTCCATCATAGTGGATGCTATGACTTGTTCTGCCTGGTTTTGAGCACTGTTGTTGCTGTTGCATTATGCATTGTTTTTGCCAAGTTGCTAGCAGCTCCATCGTGTTTTTGGATGCCATTTCAAAGTCTGGTAGAAGCCGACACCAGAAAAATGCTTCCCATCCTCTCCGGGCTTCACTGACACTGTTTTCTGCCAGCTTTGGAGCTGTTTAACATCCAGGAGGATTTGAAGAATCAGGAATTTTACTGAGTTTCCACGTCAAAAAGTGCCTTACAAAAAGGTGTGGCCTGGATTGCTGGAGCAATCCATGCTGGTTACCTGCACCAGGAAACGTTTCCCATCAGTGGACAGGTTTAATCTAATGTTTGACTAAAAGGCTCTGAATAGTGCATGGGAGCACTTCCAGCACCTAACTGGGGTTTGTAGCATTGCCCAAGGCTGAAGGAAGGAGGCTTAGAGAGGGCTCATCTGTCTCAGTAAAATGAAACTCTTCTGCAAGGGCGTAGGGCACAACTCTATCTCACCCAGCCATGAGGAATACCTGCCAGTCTCTAGGGATTTGCTTAGACATTTAGAGGTTTTTCTTGCCTGGTTTTGAGAGAAGACAGGGAACATTCTCACCATTTCTGCAGTTTCCCTCCCTCCTCTGACTGGTTCCATGATATTCTATGAGTTGTTTGCTTTTCCTTAGTGCCTCAGTTTCCCTTGCTGTGGAATAGAAGCACCAGTGAAGTGTGTTTGGTTACTTCTTTGAGAGCACAGGGTAAGGCATGTCTCCTCCCGCCGAGGACAGTGGCACCAGAATGCTTAGAGAACAAGAAATTAAACAAAGCAGAAGCACTCAACACTCAAAGCAAAAAGCCCTTTTTCCACTGGATTCTTTGCTCTGGGTGGGATGGGGGAAAAAGCCACAGTGAGTCAGGTAATCTAACGGACAGCTTTGGAATCTTGGAACATCTCCATGAGATGCTGCTGCTTCTGAGGATGGTCACATCCCTCTTACATGTCTGTTCTGCCAGTGCTGAGATCATCAGCTCAATCTACTGTCTACATCAAAGAACAGCTGCTCATTTCTCCTCTGCATTGCAAAAGTAAAAGCAATGTGTGGACCAGCATTAAGCATATTTGTGTGGATTGGTTCTCAGCCTATATTGGAGAAACATCAGTAAATCAGTTTAGAGAAAACAGTATAACAGTAGCATATTAAAAGAGTCTTTTATCAGTCTCAAGACCAGCATTGATAGCACCATCATCTGACTTATTAACAGGCTTGGGACAGCTTGTGCTCAGTTTATGTTGGCCAAATCATCTAACACTGCAGAAAACCAAAACCACTTCCTGTCTAGAACTCAGCCCCTGACCCGGCTGGAAACTCACAATAAATCCATACATTTTATCAGATTTCGGGGGGTTTTGAGCCAGGCTTTCACAGCAAACTGTTCTGAGCCCTGGACAGAAAATACTGCATGAAGCAGAAGGATCATCTGGCTTAAGAATCACAAAACATCAGGTTCATTTAGAAGATCAGGTGTGTACCTGAAGGCTTGACTCCTCGTACACATTGAAACAAACCCCATCACTGCAAGCCATGTGTTGAACGTACTTTAGCTGCATTATCATAGTCAATTAAACCAAGAGGCTTAAGGAATGTTTAACCCTGCTGCAGTAATTAAATAGACAAGTGCATTATTAATGGGAATTTAATAGGAGGTAGAATTTGAACCATTTAAAAGAGATGGAAATGGATTTTAAACACAATTCAACTGGCTCACCCTGAGTAACCCTCTTCTGGTTAGATGCGCTTTACGGTCCCTTCAAACCCAAACCTTTCTATGATTCTAAGGCAGCAAGGACAGCATCATTTGGAAATCAGATAGCAAAGCATTGAAGCCATTAACTATTTTTTTAATTGAAACTCATCTTCCAAGTCACACTAAAAGCAAAATGAAAGTCAAACACTCAGGTATAAAACGGCAGAGCAGTACTGTGACAATTCCAGCTTCTTGTTGCATACTCTGGAGTACACACTATTAATCATCATCATAAGCAGACAGGATGAGAGCTGCATCATCATTCATTTGAAATCTTAATGCTGATCCATTTCCCATAGGGTCCTCCTTAAAGGATGCTGGTTAGCATAGCTCCAGGGTTGGACTATCTCAGTGAAAAGGTTCTTGCTTGTTTTCCCCTCATTACACCTCTTAAATGTCTCAGCTGCTGATTTAGATGTGAGACAGACGAGAAACAGCATCTTGCTGGCATAAAGCAAGCCTGACAGGGGATTCAGACCAGTGCCTACACTTCACATTAGCCAGATGTCAGAGGCCAGTGATGGGAACCCCTGTGGTGCCTGGTGCCAAGTCAGTTAAAATTAGCACTGCAACTTGGTAGTACCAAGTCAAAACTGCCAGTGTAGAACAAGTCACCAACTCCAGTGGGTCACCATCACTCTTTGTAGGCTCATAAAGTGAGCTGGACGGTAATAAGCATGACATTGCTATGAAGTAAGGACATTTCAATGAGACTGACTATCTGACAGAAGGGGTAAGAGCCACCAACAGCAATGCAGATGTCATCTTCTCTCCACAAGTGAAGCTTAGATTGCCACGTAGGGTGGTGGGGATTCCTTGGAAGGCAGCTCTAAGACTTCCTCATATGATGGCAGTGCAGCCTGGAAGAGAAGACCATTAGTTATGGGAATCACATGAAGGAATTCAATTGCATTTGATCTTGGATCAGTGAATACAAGTGATATATTCCCATTTATCTGCTTTTCCTGAAGCCAGTTTCAGGTTCCTTGCAGACACCACTGGCTTTGTAAGATTTTATACAAAAGTTAAAGGAATATAATTGGAAACATTATAATTGGAAACCTATTAATGCACATTTGAAGGGCTGAACAATCTCTCAGACCACTAAAGAAGCAACAGCAAAGAAAGATCATCATTCACCTCATCAGTCTAAACCATGCCTTTTCATGATGTAAATCTCAAGCAGTCTTTACTCACCTTTTCAACCACTTGTGGGTCAACTTTCACCTCCTTTCTCTTGCTGGCTTTAATGTACTTAAAGCAGCTCAGGACACACTTGAACATATAGGCCTGAAAAGGAAAGGGAAGTCTGCCATCCCATTGCATGTCAACAAGAGCATTTCTACTTTTGCCATCAGCCTAGTGTTGTCCTCCTCTCTTCTCTGGAGGCAGAAGCCTGGGACTATGTGTCTCAGGACCTTAAGACAGTTTCTCTTGATCCTTCACTAGAAGGGTGACAACTCTATCTCTTCAGAACAATACGCTGGTGTGGGAAGTCAAGAGGACTAGTAATACCTTTAAATACAAAGCATATGCTTAAGACCTTTAGGAGTGCAATGTCATCAGGTAGGAAAGGAAAGCATGTCTTTCATGTTATGTGGATGTCTCAGGAAAGCACCTTGGGCACAACATCCACCTCCCAGAGATCCAAGGCTCCCTGGTCAGTGAAGACTAACACGAGAGGTCAGCTCATTCAACAAAATCCTATATATATCCTGCCTTATACTCGCAATAGTTGCTTTCCTGACAAGGCTGCCTTGCACCTCACCGAGTTACAAGATGCAATAAATAGAGCTTTTCTGAGAAAAATGAATCGATTGACAGATTGTGGCAGAGGAAAATAAGCCAGGCCTGTGAAACACACCATATTAAATAAATATTGTCCCTGCTCTGCGCAGCGAGGCAGTCGTGTGCCTCTTGTTTTTATTGGCCTACAAGTCTGCTCTAAAAACAGTTGGCATTTTCAAAGGAACATAGGGAGTTATATGCCCAAAAAACAAGCCATGAAGCTTAGGACTTCCTAGAACAATGAGGACTGTTTGTCTTGACACAAAGCCAAGATAAAGAATGGGACAAGGGATGAAGTATCTGAGCTGAAGGAATCCATCTCCCAAACAAACTTCCAGAGATGAGGAGGTAAATCCAAACTGTGGCCACCATTAAGGAATACTGCAGAATCCTTCCCTGTTCCAAAAGCCTCTTCATACAGAGCGCGAGCTATTTCAGAAGTAATTATGTTAAAGCCTGTCTTTCATTTCTCATCAGAAATGTTTTATTCCCCTTGGTTTCTGCATTCTTACGATACTCAAGCGAGGTGAGGATTATTTGTGGATACACAGATCAGCAAAGGGAAATTGCCCTGAAGGTGCTATGTAGGCATCTCTCCATCACTCTCTCTGCCCTTTGAATACTTCGCATCTCCAAGGAACTTAGACTTGGACAGCTGATTGTATCACCATTGGGGACCTACACGTAAACATACACCCAGCTATCACACTGGTAAGGAGCTGCGAAGCTGCATGGAGAGACTCCCACGTTGCAAAAGGACATGCACCCTGCAAAGGGTGGTGTTACATGAGAGAAACAAGGGAGAGGAGCGTTGCCATCCCCCTGGCACTGTCAGAGAAGTCTTTCCTGCTGGAAGGGACAGCCAAGTCTTGCAGGTCTCATGCAAGGTCACTGCAGAGGTGTTCTGTGAGGCAGGTGCCGCACCACTTCTCCATCTGATAGACGCCTTCTAGCTGAATTATGCTATGGAATCGGATGCAGAGAACTGTTTGGGGACAGGAATTGCAAGTTGGCAGACAAACAGCACCAGATACACAGAAATAGCAATTTGGTGTTAGAGCAATAAATGCTTGTGATAGGTCATTAAGCAAGTCCATTTATGCAAACAGATCCCGGGCTAGTCCAGCATATTTACATACCACCTTGGTGTGGGCATTCAGTGAATTGAAACCAATGTGCCCTAAATTGGCCAAATGGCCTTTTTAGGTCTAAAATGTTTTAGGTTGTTGCCACATTCCTCGTCAGATCTTTATCACTTGGAAGGAACTCTGCAATGAAAATGGTTTTGCTACACATAGAGGAGGGGAGGAACTGTCACTAAACTTAAGGGATGGGGTTCCTAATGACTTGTTTCAGGGAGTACTTACACTTGTCCGTTGTTTCTTCTATTATTTTCCCCTCCTCCCTTCTCCTACAAACACCAGCCCAAGAAGTCATTACAAGTTAAGCACTCTTGTAGCTAATGCTGTGGAAAATTCAGATCAACCTATTTGCCAGGTCAGAGAGATTTGTGCTGCAGACCCATGCTGCCAGCTGGGTTTCAGGGTTATCTCTACTCCCATTGCACAGTTTATGCAAATATTAAAAGATATGCTAAAGTCATGTCTGCAGTGCTATCACTCAAGATATTCCACTCCACCCTGCCTGGGAAGAGTCTGAATGAAATTACTTTCCAACTAACAAGTAGCATTTTTCACTGTGACAGAACCTGCTCGAGTACCTGGAAAGATCTAGTTTTCTTACCTGGTCTGAAACCCCTCAGTGAAAACCCTGCTCTCTGATCCATTGAAGCAAGAGGAACAGAAACCATCCCACAAGTGGAGTTTTCAGAGGTGCAAGCAGAATTTAGCAGCTCACGGGTTTTAATTAAATTTCAGGCTATCAGTGTGCATAACTCCACTTACAACAGTGCCGAAACAGTGACTCACCCAAGTGGAAGATCTAACCTGCTGCTTAATGATCTAATTTATTTTGGTACATAATAGCAGAAGAGTTTCCTGTATTTGTTTTCAAACACCTTATCCCTTTAGAGATGAATGCATGGGAACTTGCATCTGCAGAGGCATAAACCCAGGGATTTGAATATTAGACCTGCCTCGGACATTGTGCTGAGGTGTAGCTCCTATTATACCCAGGCAGAGACCAACAAAGCTTTCCAATGCCCTGGCAGATTTGAGAGAGGAGAGAAACTAGTTCTTCCTGTTCTTCAGGCAAGAGAGCTTCATTTCAGCCTCACCAGACCCTGCAACAATTTACCTTCAGGAAGAGGACAGCAATGAACGCAATGGTGAAGGTGACCATCACTTTGGCATATTCCTCTGTTGGTAACTTCTCCACGGTTGGCAATAAGCCCTGTGAAAAGAAGGAGAGGGACTTAGTAATAAATGCTTGTTCCCTCTACCAGGGTTACACAAAGTGGTGGAGATCTCAGCAGGTTTCTCGGCCTGCCTCTCAGAAAGGCAGGACAGGCCACCTTCCTTTCCTCACTGGAAAGAGTACAGGGATATTTTTTATCTCCTGCTATTCATGCTCCTTTGGTAAAGGTTTTCAGAAGACTATTTAAATGAGAACTAAAAGTATGACTCTTTAATAAAGGCGAAAAGTTTATGCATTTTCAATGCATGCAGGTTCCAGCCAAATCATTTTGCTCTACAATTTGCATCCATAAGATTCTTATGAGAAAAACAAGGTGTACTTTTAAGAAACACCAGCATAAGCAAGCTGCCAGTCAAGAACACTGTGTTGGTGAGAACACATGGGAAAACCCTCTTTTGTCATCAAACAGAGCAGTTGTGGGTACATCGTACAGGTCAGAGAAAGTTTACTCTGTGTTCCCAGCCTCTGAAAGGAACTTCATAGGAGTTCTCAGCATGAAAAAACAGCTGAGCTTGCTCATAACCTACCCCATTGTGTGAAGGCTTGAGGCTGAGATAGGTGGGGACCTCCATGTAAGAGCTGCAGAGAGTGAGAATACTCAGGCAGAAGTCCAGCAGCTGCAGAGCCAGGAAAGGGATCTTCGAGCTTCCCCGCTGCAAGAAGGGAACAGGAATGTGGTTACTGCCATGACATTGCAACACTTCTCTAGATCCTCGACATTTTACACGGGGCCTGTGCTTTGTTCACAGTGGCAGCCTCAGCTACTTCATTCACTGACACTAGCCAAAATGATGAGCAAACCATTTTGTTGGGCTGATTTACACAAGCTCCACAGAAGAGGCCTCTAGCTGGGTGGTGATAATCCCTGCTTATCTTCAGCAAGCCCTTCTTAGCATGGGCACACCCGGAACAACCTTCCCAAAGCCATGAGACAGACAATAAAACCAACAGGAAGATTCCCAGATGTGGGAAACTGAACAGTATCCCAGCTGTCACTAGTTCTCCTTACGCACCCTCTATCCCCCAGGATTGAATCCTGCCTCCAGCCAGTATAGAAACTTCCTTGCTATGAAGAACCATGGCCCAAGATAATGATCGTTCATGCCTACATTATGCATTAGTTTCCATCTCATGGAGAACAGAGAAAACCACCCCAGAAGTGAGCTGTTACCTACCGTGTGGCGAAGGGAGGACACAGAAATTATCTCAGGGACTTGAATGTAGGAACTGAACATTGTTAGGAGGCTGAGGAGAAAGTCCATGACTTGTAGAGCAAGGAATGGGATCAGGAGACGTTCCCTCTTCTGAGAAAGAAAAGAAATGCCACTTATTTATATTCTGAATGGAATAAAGAGACCAGCTATCAATACCCAAAAGGACACACATTAAGGTACTCCAAAAACAGAGTTTCCCGGAATTCTGCATCTAATTGCACATCCTGTGGTGACAACAGATTAGGAAAAAATGAAGGGCACCAACAATGAATTTTTTCATCCCCTTGGAGAGTTTCTGTGAGTTTTCACTATGTAACATTAGCACTTAATGCCATCAGCTGTCCCCAGAGTTTACTGTGACAGAGAAGGCTGGGTTCCTACACCAATGCAGGGTTATTTCTCCTCCTGAAACGGGGAATGAATCCCCAATGCAATAAGGGAGTTAGGGTGCTCCTGAAAGATCTGACTTGGATCCTGACAGCAAGGAAATGATCAGAAACAAAACATCATTTCCAAAGCATAACATTACCATCCCTTAATATGAAAACTAGTCGTGATGGAAGTGTCACCAGATTTGGTAGATCTGGTGATTAGCAGCCTTGTAGAGGAGCCCGAGACTGCGAACCAGCCACCTTCCCCCTCTATAAGAGAGCAGATATCTTCATCTGCTTTTCTGATCATTCATCAGCATTTCCAGTGGGCATCCTCTAGTCCCCTCCTCTAACACCTCCTAACTCAAAGAGGCCTCAGCCAGCAGCTAAATGTCACTGTGGAGAACATACCTTCACCACACCAAGGAGGAGGTTGAAGCTGATGATGAACAGCATGATGATCAACAGGAAACTGGTGACAACATCAGCTAAAAGTAATAAAAGTAGTTACCACATTACTAAAAGCTTATTATACCAATTATACCACTGAGGAAGAGCTAAAGTGTGATAAGCTGTCAGAAAGAATTGCTTATAGGATCACAGAATGGTTTGGCTTGGAAGGCACCATATAGTTCCAGCCCCTCTACCATGGGCAGGGACACCTCCCACTAGACCGTGTTGCCCAAGCTTCCTCCTGAGGAGTTCCCAGGAAGCAGTTGTCCCTCGTAGTATTGCAGACTGCCCTGATGATGACTACCAAAGCCTTGCTTGCACTGTGCAGTTATACACATCTGGTCTTTGTAAGAGTCTAGACAGCGGGAGGAGTTTTGGAAAGTTGGTTTGCTGCTTAAAACTAAAAGGGGGGCAGCTGAATCCAAAGGCAAAATAATTCTATTTTCTTTATCTGCCTCTGCAGAACATACAGTTTGTTACAGTGCCTCCTCCAGCTCACTCTCTGATTTATTTCTTATTGCTTTACCTGGGTTTAAACAGCAACAGTCCTTTTGGGGTCTCCAACTCCCAAGTGCTTGAATAAAGAATGTAATTTTATTAGAAAAAGAGCCAAATTTTTGGCTTTTCTGACTTTTTTAAGGCAGTTGATCCCCTCCATGGGTACATTTCTCAGACATCAGAAGTATTTGATTACTAGCTTGCTTTCCCTCCCTGTCAACTACCCACTTTATCCCATGGCTATTAAATAAATCTAGTGCCTATTTTTCCATTCCCCCTTTCACTTGCTTTCATAAAGAAATTGTGCTTTAGCCTGTTGGGTCCCTGATACATTCCAGCTGCTCTGATAGCCTTCACTGCTCCATATTGCCCATTTTTTCCCACCATTTCCCTAGCTTTGAGTGAGCATGAGAAGCCTCTTCCCTTCTGGGGCTAAAGGGAAAACCCCTTTGAGGAGGCTGCATCCCTCAAAGAAGAAAGAAAATAGCTTATCTCAAGAGAGGGAGCAGCACTACATGAGTTGCTGCACATGGAAGTGACAGATATTCAAGGCTTAAGGGAGCGACCAAAAGCATCCAACATTTAACCTACATCAGAAAAAAAGAGACTAGAAAATAGCTTGTACTTATAACCTGATAAACACCACTTCCCCCCTGCCAAATGCAGGATTCATTTACCACTAAGTAATGAGAATTGAAGTGCAGGAGTGGAAGAAGTCTTGGGCAAAGAAAGAAAACCCAAATTCAGCAAACCCTGAATGAGAACAGAAGGGTTTAGGGCAGAAGAGGCTGCTCTCAGCTTTGCAGCTCACAAGGATCATGAGAAGAGCCTAAGCTTCAAGGTAGAAAACCAAACCCACCTTTCAGAAGCAAGAGAGCAGAGAGAAGGCTGTGATCTGGCTTACAAAACCCCGAAGATTAATAACTCAAAACAAAACCAGAGCTTAACAAAGACAGATTGAGCCTTTGTAGGAGCAGCTGTAAAGAGAAACACTCCCATTAAACCCCAAACTGCCTGAAGCCATTTTCCCTGCTTTTCCTCCCAGAACCAACCAGCAGAAGCTTGCCCATGAGAGGCTTTATCTCCTTAGCACAGTGTATCCTTGGATTCAAGGCAGCTGTGTTTCTCTGCCTCTTCCTACATGCTCTCCTGCTCTAACTCTCCCGGCAGGCTGGCTAATTAATTGGGCAAGTGGCTGTTGCTTCTGCAGGCTAATTGCAGCAGAACCCAGCTGAACTGTCCAAGCAGAACCTACATTACCCCCCTGCAACCAAACTAACAAAGAAATAAAACCCCCACAACCCTCTAGACACAAAGGGATGGGGAGAAAAGGAAAACCAAGAGCAAAAAACTCTCCAGGTGCTTTCTGCCTCCCGTTTGTCCACAGTAAATAGTCAGCCTTTCTGCTGGCAGTAGATCTTACTGTTCCGGGCATGGTTTAGTACCAATGGATTGGATCTCAGTAATCAAAGATTTCATTGAAACATAATGACTTCTTCCTTTGTGGAAGCACATTTAGCAGATGGGCTAAAGGAGTGACTCCCTTCTACAGTGGTAGCTTCTGGTTTTGTGCAAAGCCTCCATGAGATGGGAATGCAGTACATGTTATAGAAAGGCCAAAGGCAGATGTTTCAAGGGTGGCAAGAAACCTTCAAGAACCAGCAGTGCTCCCTGAAGTGTGAGGCCACAGAGAGACTATTACTGGAACTAACAGGCTCTTTCCATGCCCAGCGCCTGTTGTCCAAAAATATAAGAACTTAGTTTTGAAGCCTCTTCAGTATTTCCTTTCATGCTTAATTGGCCTTTAAAGGATGAATGTTTCTCTCTTTTGTATTTAAATACCCCCAGAAAAAGGCAAACTTTAGGAATATGGAACCAAGCTTGAGCACCTGTATAATCTCAAACACAGGGCATCATAACACAGTTTTCCCCTCTATTCCTTCTGCATGTCCATCTGGGTGCCTGTCTCAGGATTTTTTCCGCTACAGCACCTTAGAAAGTAGCAGAGTATTCAGAGAATAACAGGGTTTGTCTTTGTATAAGGTGTGTGGGCTCCTTAAGGGCTGTTCTTTCAAGACAAGAGGCAATTGTTAGAATAAAGGAAATTCGACACAGAAGGAAGGAAAACACAGTAAGTGATGCAGTCTTGAACAGGGAAGCAGAGAGGTTGTGGAATTCTAATTTGGAGGAACCTGCAAACCTCAACTGCACAAAGCCCTGAGCAAACTGCCCCAACTTTGGAGTCAGCCCTGTTTCAAGCAGGAGGTTGGACTGGAGATCTCCAGGGATCCACCTTACCTTTGCTCAGTGATTACAGGATCAGGCAGGGAAGAAATGTTGCTCTTCACAAAGCCTGTTTCATTCCCATAGCCCTAGAATAGTTCTGTTCCACAGCCACCTCCATGCTGGCAGTGGTACGTTATTGCTGGCAGCGTGTGGTGAGATGTAGCCCCCTTTAAGGGGCACCTTTTCCCAAAAGCACACAGGAATAAACAGCAGCAACAAATAAAGAAAGATGCTGGTTCTTAAGCTTTTTCTTATTCAGTTCTTCTGAGACTACCTGAGTCTCCCAGAGACCCCAGGGAATTTAATTAGGTGCTGTGAACTAGATGCCATTTTCCTTGGGGAGGTGGTGTAACCAGAATAGGGGCATATGACAGAGCCTGCACAGAGCTGCACTAGCAAGTAGTCCCCCAAAAACCCACCCATCCAACTGGAAGAGAGAGCATGTATTTGCCAAATGTCTATTTTTTATTAACTTCACATCAGGGTTTTTACCCTGAATGTAGCCAGGAGGGACATTGAATGAGTCCTAATACTTCTCATGAATGCAAAGAAACCCTTTCTGCTTTATAGCCCAATAAGCTGGCATGGGAAATACAAACAGGGCTCATAAAACTGTGGTTTAACAGTTGCATTCACAGATTGTCAAGCATGGCAGTGTCTGATTCAGTGCTGCTGATAAGCTGCAGGAGTTATTTCTGGACAGCTGCATTCAAAGGCTGGGCAGGACCAGCAAGGGAATGAAGCATCCCAGTCCCTTCAACCAGCTTTGGTTTTCAGCAGAGAAGGAGGCAATACCTTTTGCATAGGAAATGGTATGCATAGGATATGGTATATGCTGTGCACACAGGTCTTCAGGCATAACTGAGCTGTTTTTCTTGGCTGGCTGGACAGAAATTGGAACAACTTTTCCAGCTGTACTTTGTCCACAGCTTCCATTTTTATAGTCATTAATGAAAAAGAAAAGCGATTAACACTCAGACTGTGCACGGGCATGAATTGAAGACATCCCAAAGATCTGACCTACAGCAAGCAGTGGGGTGTAATGTTTTCAAGGCAGAAACCCATTCACGTTAGCAGCTTGGAACTGGTTAGGAGGTGTTAATTGAAGTGTTTTTTTTTGGGAGGGATTGCTTTTGGGGTTTATTTTTTCAGAATGAAAAGCTCGTATTTCAAAGCTCATGGGCTTTCAGGAATGAAACACTGCCAGGAAGACTTCTGCTAGGAAGGCTTCTCACCTTCTCAGGATGGGATTTCTAATAGACTGGAAATGGGGGAGGCTGCATGGCAAGCGCTCATCCAAATTTCTGCTGTACATGAGATACAGCATAGAGATGTGACCGAAGTCTTTCAAATTGCAACAGAATGCCCCCAATTACCATGCAGCAAAGCCTGCCTCCTGCTCTCTCTGCCTGGCCACACTAATCTCGTGTTATTTCTTAAATAGCACTTAGGTAATAAAATCAACACCCTGGCATTGACCCCATGAGGGGTGGGCAAATCATCTTTCAGGCTCCCAAAGAGAAAGAAGACCATGGGTCACCTTCCCATTTTAAACCAACATTTTCAGCAGGTCTTATCTTAATTTCTTGGTCAACTTTCATTGAGAAGCAGATTTCAGAGGAGCACTCTCAGTCCTGTGCTGCCTGTTGCATCTTGGAAGCCAAGATGTGAGGAGTGGCAGGCTGCAAGGGACAGAGCATCCCTCTTCTGAGGGCAGCTCTCCCAATCACCGTTCCCATTACCCCAGCAATCACAACAACCTACCAGCCCAGTTCTCCTTCCCCTCCCTGACCATACCTGTGGAACTTGAGGCCCATCCCATCCCTTCTTTTTAAGGCAGCAAAACTTACTGCTGAGAAATCTTGAGGGAGCTCTGATTCCTTATAAAGAACTCCTACATGTATTTTTTCCCTACTGTATCACGTGAAAAGCATTTTCCCATAAACCTTGTCTTGTTTATGTTCTTGGGCCATGATTACAGTGTTAGCATTATATATTCTGAGAGGTGTTTTAATCTGGCAGGATCTACAAATAGAGCAGCAGATGCTGAGGGCATCGTCAGAACCTCTCCCCAAATTGTTCTCCAACTCCTCCATCTGGGTTTTGAAGTCAAATTGAACTTTTTGTACTGATTTGCTGTGTTGGTTCCCTGCTAGTTTCTGGAAATAGAAGGGTTGCGCTGTGTTTATTCCAACTATAATCAGAAAATACGATCTCCTGAGCAGAGCCTTTTGAAATGCTTGCGAAGAGAAGCCAAGTGGAAGTGCTGGGGATTTCATTAGAAAATGTTCCTCGTTGTGTAGGAGGCAATGGAAGAGGGGGGAGGGAGAAGACCTGTCATTTTGATTGTGTGGGAAGAGGGGGGGGGGTGTTAAAAATGGGGCCAATTTCATTCCCAACAGTTTTATTCTTAAAGAAAACCTTCCAGATTCACAGGAAGGCACATCTTGCTGTGGAAGCGTATAATGGCTTCGTACGGAAATGATCTGAAAACTCTGTCTCAACAATTTGGTTTCTTTTTTTCTTTAAAGAAGATTTTACTCAGATACTTGAAGAAAAGTAAAAAATTATTGCCCTTGGATGATCTTTCTGTAAAATATAATGAAAAACAATTGTCAGTTTTACATAACTGCCTCTGTGGGCATGTAGACTGATCTGCAAATATAATGATTGGTTTTCAGCAGCTCACATTGGTGCATTAGTCAGAATGCATGTGCAGGCTCCACCATCACGAAAAACTATTTCCAGCTATGCCCATGGCCAAGCCAGGTACCAACAAAAAACCCAACCCCAAAAGAAGGCAGCAAGACCTTAAGGTCACACTTGAATCATGTTCTTCCGTTTTCATCTGTAACATTCAAACTAGAGATGTATTTTACAGGAGTGGAAAAGTGGATTCTCCTATGTTGTGATGATCCTGCCCACCCAGAAAACAGCCAGGTTCTAGAGCCTGTTTGATGTAGTGCATGTTGCCCTAACGGGAATGCTCAGTAGAAAGCATTTTCCAAAGCAGTCATCATGCAAATCTACACTGGGCGTTGAGTTGAGCCACAGCTGCAGAGGGACCTCTGTGGACCACAGCTAAGCAAAGTAGCCTCCAACCCACCCAGACTCGATAACTTTGGAAGTAATGTCCCATGTGAAAGATGACAGCAGCCCTTTGCTTCGTGTCCTGTTAGCAGCAACTCACTCAGATTTCCATTTTCTCTCACTGTTGATGCCTTTTGAAACAGCCTTGGTGGATCACAGTGGTGCCTCCTAAAACCCAGCTGGGGTCTTTTGAAGAATGTGAACCCATCTGGTAGCAATAACATCACCCAGACAGTGCCTGGTTTAGTTCTTTCTACTATGTCTAACTCCTACCCTGGGGACAAGTGAGAATTGCTGTACTTGGTTTCCTTTTCCTCCACTTACAGAGGGTCTCTTTGTGCATCCTTAAAGCCTGGGGAAGGACACACTGAAAAAGCAGGGAACAGGCAAGTCCTTGGTGCTGTGAGTTGCATTTTGCTCTGACTACGAGCCTTCTTTGTATGGAGAGACAATGCAGGGCGTGGGAGCCTGGTTTCCGTCTTTCTGCATGCAGCAGAGAAGGGTTGTCTCAACTTGTGGGTCTATATCGAAAAGTAACTCAGAAAAGGGAAGAGTACCCTGTGTTTGTTGCTTCCAAACAGCTTCATGCAGAATTAGCCTGGTTGAGTAATATTTGAGGTTTGGGGAGTTAGGTTATTTTAAATGGCACCCCATGTGAGATATCTGCCAGGTCTAAGAAAGCTAAGCTAGATCCTTCCAAGCTCAAGCCATAGGAATCAATCAATCATGATGAATGTGATGCTTGTGGCTGATGATATGATATGAAACAGCCTGGCTGCTTCTTTCAGACAAGTAATGTTCTGCAAAAAACACCAGGGGCTGGGGAAATCTGGGATGGGAGCTGAAGGGACAAGGGGGGAAAGGAGGTGGGATGGTGGGGTTCTCTGAAGTGCCTTCAGCTGTGGGGTGAGGGACCCCTGCATGGCATGATGGATAAGAGGATGGTTGCATGGCATAGAGGGCAGGGTCTCAGTGGCAGTGTCAGGCAGCCCATTCAGCTATGGGATGTAGTGTGGGGCTGTGATTTCTCCCCACTCCAGCACCCCCGGGTCACTGGTCAGAAGCTGAAGGAGTATGAGGGTACGGGAGATTTTGGGCTCATGGCCTGACCCACTGAATGAAAGACAACTTCTCTGGGCTCCTTACTGGTCTCCAAAAAGCCAACACAGGCAAGACCTAAACCAAAATCCAGATCTTTAGAGCCTGAATTTTGTCTCTGCGTCTGAGCTTTTGCCCTTCTGTTGTGAACACCAGTTTCCAATTTTCTTTGGTGAAAAAGAAAGAGTGACCAATGCAGGACCGTGGGCTCCCTCTCAACCCCACTGACCCTTGTTGCTTTCCAGCATCCTGGTGACCTACCAATTCTGTAGTAATCCTTGTCCAGGTCTTTACAAAAGCCTTTCCCACTTGCCACCTCCAGGGAGTACTCAATCAGCAGCAAAATGCTCATAACCTGGGAGGAGACAGAAGCAAAAGACATAATTCAGTGGGCCTTGGGGCCAACTTCCTTTCAACAGATTTGTTTCCAGGGAGCATTCAGTGGCCACAGTCCTTAATGCAGGATGGGTTTCCAAGTGAGACAGACATGAAGGGTTTCAAATCCTGTACAAGAAGATATTGAGGCAAAAGTTATCAGGTTTTGGTTTATAATGGTTTGGGTTTAACTGTCTTTTTCTGCCAGCTTCTGAAGGAGGATGGAGAAAATACAAAGTTAATGAGTTTTGCTTCAACACTTTTTATCTGAAAAGTCCTGGATATGCATTTTGCTTCAGAATGGAGCTAAATGTAACAGTGGTATTCTAAAGTGTAAAAAGAAACACAAAAAGAATGGAGATCTCTCTAAGGTTAGCTATGCATTGACAAAAATATAATTCTCCTTCTTTTTTATTTAACAAAAATCTCCAAATGTGGGGTTTTTTCACATTGAGATACAATGATTTCCTCCCAGTTTCTGAATTGGACAATCAAACCCCTGACTCCAGGGTTCATTCCATGCTGAGTTTAGCAAGCTGTGAGATGGAGTGAGGTCTAGAGCTGTGGTCTCAGTCCTAGCACTGGAGCTGCTCTAAGGTCTCCCCGGAGCCTTCTCTTTGTCAGGTTAAACCAGCCCTCACAGCATCTTCATGGCCTCCTCTGGACTCACTCCAACAGGTCCATGTCTTCACCAACACCAGGTCCAGCACTGGGAGAACCCTTTCTGCACACTAGCAGGGACAGGAGCCATCAACAGCAGCACCATCAACAAAAAAGAGGTTGTCGTGAAGAGATGAATGAGAGAAGCCATGTTATCTGGACTGCACAACCTCTGTCTGAGTCATCTGAACCCCACACTGATGCAGGAAGCAAGTTTATATCTGCCACCAAGATCAACACAAGCTTAAGCACAATAGAGCTGAAGCAGCTTTCCCACAATAGCTACATCAGCCTTTCATTTCAACGACCTCTTAAAGAAGTGATGCATGCAAGCAGGAACTGGAACTGTTGTGGTCTGTGCTTGTGTTTGCATGCTCTATGTGTGGGAAACAACACAAAACCAGCATCTGCAGGGGGATGAGGCAAACCTAACTGAGCGATGAGCAGAAGAATGGGTTTTGTGTTTGGCTGGAGATGCCAGGCAAGATCCAGACAGAGCTCAGGCAGGAATAATGTATAGTCAGATGTGCTAGGGCTGACACTGCACGCAAACAAAAACCATAGAGGCATGGAAAGGGAGGCTTTGTGTTGCTCCAGAAATGGGGAAGCGTGGCTGGGAAGGGTGGCAAGGAGAGGAACTGAATGCAGACTCTCCCACCGTCTCTGTATTGGCTGCAGAAGACCTAGAAACTATTTTTGGCACCAAATTGATGAACTTTCTGTGCCACAAGCTGCAAGTGCAGTTTCCGAAAGAGCTGTAGCACCTCCCTCAGAGTCCTTTGCTTCTAGAGTGATCATCCACCAAGCCACACTCTTGCTGCAGTGGGGACTGGAACGCTGTGTCCCACCATGAGCCTTCCCTTTGAATTTGAAACACTGTCTAGAATGTGAGTTGGAAGAAAGGACGTGTCATGTTTCCTCCTGGCCTGTCTGGTATCAGGTTGTTCAACAGCTCCACGAGACACACAGCTTTTGTTTTTCATCTATTTGCCATGCAGTAAATGAACATGGCAATATCTAGATCTCATTACATGGAGACACAAGAAAGTTAACAGGAATTCAGTTTAATGTAACAGCCTTTAAAGTCCCATGGAAGTGCTGAAACTCGTCAAGGATGAAATCGGATTGATCTGAAGTTTCCTTACACCTGATGATCCCCCGCGGGATGTGAAGGATCTCTTTACTAACACATGGAGATCACATGCTGACTTCAAGTGCCCTAACTCGTCTGAGAGGTTTCATGTACACGCTCCCAAAGAGATTTCACTTCCCTCGTGGCTGTTGTTGGTCAAATCCCTCAATTGGCAACATGGGAAATACAGGAAGAAATTGCTTTTTCAGGTTTCTATTAAATGGAGGCCTGAGTAAAATGGATGACATGAGTCCTAAATATCAATTTCAGTCCTGAAAGACAAGTGAGTTAAAGCAGGATATCAAATCCTAAATGCTCCCATCCCAGATTTACAGCCAGAGCAGAGCCAGAGGCTAAACTTCAGTATAAAGAACCATCTCTAATATCTTATCGAAGAAGGGAACAGTAGAGTAAAAGAGGCCATGGTTTCCTTGCAGGTGTTGAAATGAGGCACACAACCAGACCCTCTGCAGTCACACAAAGTGCATGTCAGATACAAAACCCAAGCCCAACCTGAAAGTTAAGGAGAAGGCTTTTAAAGTGAAAGCTGGGTTTTAAACCTTCTGTTTAAAAGAGCTTTTGCGTAGAAAGAATGAGCCACTGAACTGTAACAAGATAAAAGAGGCGATGATCTCTGGGCCTTTCCCTGGGCTCTCCACCACAAGTACCATGTGAGGACCTCTCCATCACCTGCCTTTGGCTTTGACACGCTGCTGCCTGGCATGTGACAATCTCATTTATTCCTGTAGAGAACAGACATGTAAGGTGATGAAACCTCTACGGTGGGCTGCTCACCTCAATTTGAGAAGAGGTAGAGGAAGATTGATGTGGTGTCCGCTCAGCACTCCTCGTTCTGCAAGGCTGCATATATTCTAACTCAAGATTTACCCTTCGGCTCCACAAGAAACCAAAATGTTCCCATTTCAGAGACAGGACTGCTCAGACAAGCATCCAGTTCCCTCTCTTATTGCTATGTCACCACAGAGAGAGGCAGCAACTCATCCTCCCCACGCCCCAGTGGTGCCCCTCCACCCGCCAGTCCTTCTTGTTTTACCTCCTCCAGCTGCAACTTTTGGAGGACACCTCTCATCTTGTTGCTGCCTCCATTTCAAACGAGTGCTTCACATTTACTGGGAAAAGATCTGGAACACCAGAAAATCGTGTAGGACTGAGGTAGTCATTAAATTAAGGCTGCTAAATTGGAGGTGTCTGGCAAAGCAGAATCTTACCAGCATGATTCAGGCAGCCCAGGTTCCCTGGCAAATAATTCTACTGCAGTTGCAGTGGGGTTAAACTGCTCTTAGAGATTCTCATATGCTTTTTTCTTTCTGAAATATGTGCAGCTTGACTAATCTCCAAATAATTTGTCTTTATGCACATGGCCTTGGTGTTTCTGCTGCTCCTTCTTTCTTTTTTCGCTGCAAGAAGAGCTTGAAACCACAAGGAACAGGAGTCATTTGGGACAGTGGCACGCTGCTCTGGCAGTGCATTGGGGTGCTGTGAAGGTTTCTGACAGCAGTGAACACAAACAGGTGATATCCAGCACTCTGAGGACAAATAGCACCACATATAGATGCTGGTACTTTCAGAGCTTACTTTAATTTACAAGTGGTTGTTGTGGCAGGGAAGGGTGAAGTGAGGAGTGTTTTTAGCTCCCAGTTGGTTTCCTTTCAAAACATTTTATTTTTTCCTTCCTGCTGCCTCCTTCTCCCCATCTTGTTTGTGCCACAGAGACGCTCCAGGAGGATGAGGGAGCAGCACAAGGTCTAAACATCTTGGGACAGTCACAGCCTGGTGAAAGCGCAATATATTGCAGGCTCTGCAACAACACGAGTCATGTCCACAGGTGAGGACTGGACCTTGGGAATGTCTCAGAGATGAGACTGCTCCTTGAGTGAAAGAGATGCTGAAGAAAAGAGCTTATCTGCGACTAAGGCCAGGCCAAGTACAGACATACTGCCTTCTCAGACCCCCTCTGCCTCTAATCAAGGACAGGTAACAAAAGAATTGCAGGTTTTCCACCCACCCTGTACGCACAGAAGCAACTTTCCAGCCTTTTTCTTGAAGCTAATGTCAAATAACTTGAGTTCTGTTCATGTCTGTGGGGAGCTGATGAGCAGAAAGACAAGTTCCTCTATCCTTTCTTTGAAGTCACCTCACAACACCCAGTGAAGCTTTGCTAATCATACAACTCTGTCTCCTCCTCATTCACCTCCTTCTCCTTCCCTATTTGAGAATGCCCATGATTTACTTCAACTGTCTATGGAGAGATCAGCAGTGAGACCAATCTAATTTATAAGAGGACAAGACATCACCACAAAGCCCGGGAGCTTCCATTTGATGGTATTACTATCACCCAGCATCGCTTTGATTCATCCCTAGGACCCACAGCAATAATTTACACTGGTACAAACCAACAGTATTGATGTAGCAAATCCTCCAAGTCACTGCCAAGTTATAAATCCCCTTCTCTTTTTCCCTCCCTCTGCCCAGTGGCAGCTATGTGGTCAAAAAGGTGAAGAAGAGATAAGGAAGAAGTGGTTGCTATTCGATGTCATCTCTTAAAGAAGTAAGACAAGACAGCCTTCTCCAAAAATGAGGCTGTTTCCCAAGGGGTTCTGTGTAAAAGAAACCCACAGAAATGTTCCACTAGAATTTGCCAAACATATGAAGAAATGTTTAAAAAGGAAATGTGAGCAGAACGGAGCTGGAGGTTATTAAACACGACAGCTACTAAACATGATAGTTCTCATGTAACCTCAAGCTCAAGAAGTTTTGACTGCAGAGGATGCACAGGGCAGGGATCTCATGGTACCTGTCCCACTTACAGTATCTTCCTCTCTGAGCAGTGGCTGCTGTTGGAGACAGGCTGGGAGGCTGCTGGACATCAGGGCTGACTCAGGGCATCTGTCTTATGACTTCTACCTTTGCCATTTTGTAGAAACAAGCAGCTTCTCTCACCCACCTTCAGTGGACCT